TCAGTTGAGCTGGATCCAATAACTTTTCCCCTAGGAAATACCATGTTTAGGTTCGAATGACCACTCTTACATTGGAACTAACTTTTTTTTTTTATATATGATTGGACCTAAGTTGATATGTGTAAATTGCTTTGAATGAACTAAGCGCCTTTGAGATTCACATAGTGACATAAATTGCAAGCCATTTATAAGCCATAAAATCATGTCATCCCACCAAGATATTTTTGCAATACATATCTCTATCTACATAAGGTTTGGTGGCTCTACATATAAGAGCTCTCCTATAGGGTTTAGATATGACATCTCTCGGGCTTCCCTTGTTGATATACGCTTTTGTATTCCATGATTTTTAAGAAGATTTGATGGCTTTGAAGTGCATACGTGAGGAGCATCTTATTGTGATGTAATATCTCTTGTGAGAATTTTTATGGTTCTTTATTTTGATCATGTGTGTATTCAGGATGCGAGAAGATCTAACGAGATTCCTTTGTTTATGTACAACATATTTATGATTTCTTTGTTAGTTGATTGGATCCTATCCCCTCCCTTTTGTATATTAATATAATTAAATAAAAACTATCAAGTTTTCATATCTCATTTTTTAGCGTTGCTTGATTTCTTTAGGGGTTGTTTGGTATACTGAAAAAGAAATGCAGTGTTAAAATTTTGTATTGCATTTGAAATATTTTAAAATTATTTGGCTTAGTGTAAATTATTCTTTGGTTCGAAGAAAAATGAATTCAATGTAAAATAAACCCATTAATGTTGGAAACAGTGGCAGATGACAGGAGGCAAGTGCCAACAAGCAGCAGCATCACTATACACAAAACCATATGTTTAGAATTTGCCCGAAATAAGCAAATTTCAAATACAATGAAAAATGAACTAGATGATGGATTCCAAATACTTTGAAATTTTACACTACATAATTTTTCCAACCAAACGTTTGAATTTTTAAAACCCATACAAAAGAAAAGCAATGTACTCCTATTGTTGTAGACCAAACAGCCAGTTAGTATTTTTGGCATATTATACTTGCTCCTGAAAGTACTCTTGCATCCGAGTTTAGGCATCCTTGTTGCGGCAATTTTCAAACATTTGACCTCACATATGCGAAGCATTTCTTCAACATCCCATCGCTCTCATCATTATCCACAGAGAGAGCAAGTGTGAGAGTATGTGTGAGTTTTCTATGTTTTCGAATTTCATGAAAACAAACATATAATTTCAATTAAGTGCACTTGATTCATGCTCTTCCTCACCCCATCTCTCATAAATCTTCCCCACCCTCATGCTGTCCCAAATCACATCATCTCACGCTCTCCGTCTCTCACACAAACCATTTTTCCCCTCCAAACCGGAAAACCTCCCAAAACTCCACAACAGCCACCTCACTGTCATAACATTCACTTTTGTCCCTCCCTCTCCAGCGTCCCAACTCCTCACGTAACCATCTACCTGTAGGTCCTTTTCTCGTTGAAACTCCCTGCTCCACGCAATAGTAACTGAAACTCCCTGCTCCACACGACAACTCTCATACCTCTTGCCCTCGTTTTTCCATCATATGCTTCTATTTGAGTCCCTACAATAGCCAATGAATCCTCCTCTTCCCATTCTCCTAGCTTTTCCTCCCCATTGGCATGCTCTATGTCAACAAACCTAAGCTCACACGGTTCTCCTCCCCACTACCAAACCCAACTCAACACCTCCCTCCCACTCATTCTCTCTCTAAACTGAAAGAGAGAAAATATTCTCACTTTGCCCTCTCTAGCTTTCTTCCTTTCTGTACCACCATCTCTATTTGTCTCTAGAAAGAGAGAAAAGTAAAAAAAGAAAAATAAAAAATATTAGCGAGCCTCAAAATCTGTGTTAAATTCTTCACAGCTTTGACTCGCACAAAAAGGTATTAAAGGTTGTTATTCTAAACTCATGAAATGCCAATTGTGGCGTGTTTGACAATTCGAGCAGAATTCTATACACGTTTTTCACAGCATTATTAAGTGAAACTCGTATGTGAAACTCACAATGCATCGAGTAATTCAAAAAACTCCTGAATCTCATGTTGTGGTGCATTTGGAGCATCGAGCATAACCCCATACATGTTTTTAGCAGCATCGTGGGATGAATCTCGTACACGAAGCTTGCGACGTAATAGACAATTTAAAATGAAATACCTATATGCATTTTTTGGAGCACGGTGAAGAAATGTGTGAATTTTATACATGTAACCTAAACAAGCTTTTCATAGCATGCAGGGTATGAAGACTGGATCGTGGTGTTTACACCACCCATTCATGCTTTTCATAGCACGGCGAGCAAGTCCAACTTTTCAATAGTAGCCCGCATGCACAAATGACGTCGGGAGGCTGCCGAAATGTTGCCAATTTTTTAATGATTTGGGACTTGAACAGAACTTGCAAAAGAACAAATTAAAAATGAATATCAAGATTTAAATCCAACAAAAATAAAAATTATAAATGATATTTGAGAAAAAAGATTGAAGGACTTAATGCACGTTGCATCAAGAGAATTTTAAGGATTAGACTGAAAAAGTCCCAAAGACTTATGTGGAGTTCGATAGTTTGTGTCTCAAGTGCAATCAATAACATGACTTGATGGCTTGCTTACGAGCCAGAATAAAACTAAAATTGATTAAATATTAAATAGGCTCAATCGGGCTCAATCAATTATAAGTTAAATGCTAACAACCAAACGTTATTTTGAAATATAATATCAAAATCTGAATTGTATTATTCTTCACCGGATCCGCGTCCCCCTATATGAGCAAACAGAAGATGAAAGTGAAAGCTTTTAAAATTAATAACGTGCATTTGTCTCAATGTTAGAATATTCATGAACACTTTTAATATTGAGAAAATTTCATAATTTTCATATTTCTCAATGCTATTTTAAACTCAAATATATCGCACCAAAGAAAGCGTAAACACTAACATGCTAAGAATTGTGTATGTTCTAAAGTGTGAACAAGTACCTCACAAATGCATTGAAATCTATATAAGTTTGTCATGTAGGTGCATTTAAATATGAATATCCTAATCAACTTTAACATACTCGCATACGCTCCGACCATTGTATTAGAAGTTTGATCATATGGTCTAAGAATATTAAAGCTTAAATTAAATTAAATTTTAAAATGCACCACCTTGAAAAATGCACATGCCATAAAAAATATAATATTTGCGTCACTCGCCTCAAATACGTAAACTTAAGTGTCTGATAATGTTGAGTGGGTTAATTGTGTACTTAGGCTAAAATATGATCTACCTTGAGAAATGTGCAATTATTATAATTTTATAAAAATCTATTTTCAAAATCTCAATTTAAATATTTTACAAATTCTAAACCAAGTTGTCTTGCCCATAGAACAATGTCATAAGTTCCACTTTAGCTAATTTAATCCTCTTCCCTACGGGGACTCGAGTTAATAAGACAGAACTAGTCTGATCCTCCACCTTGTAAGAATTGGAGTTGACAGGTCAAAGACATCTTCGAATGCTTAAACGCCTAAGCTTAATCATGCCAAAATGAGCATTTCGATCAAAACTCAGATGATTGGCACACTTATTGTACATCTTAATCGGAAGGGTTGATCATAAAATTAAAAAAAATTCAAATTAAAATTTTAGAATATTTAAATAAAATTAAAATCATTAAAAGCTAAAGAACAAAAACGCATTCACCCTCTGCAATCGTTTATCGAGAGTGACAAATTTGATATTAATTTAAGATCACAAATAACAAATGTCATATCAATTATACTACTAAATTACACTCAAAATAATCTCATAACGATAAGAACGTAATCCAAGTTATATGTCCACACAAATTTTTTTGTCAAACGGCACTACAAAAAAGCAGATACGACTAGAGCCCTCTGACCCAGTGATTTGTCGTCTAATGACACCATTATATTACAACAATGTTTGAAGCCTAATTATTCCTCAATAATATTCTACATTTTTTAGTTGTTATTCAAAATGTATACCAAATAGGGCATTAAGCCCTTTGTAAGCTAAGATCGGCTTAGATTAGTTCCTTTAGATAAACGTTCACATCAGGTCAACAAAATTCCATTGGATAAAACAATTCATGACTACTGACAATGATCACTAAAGTTGGGTTAACCACTTCCTCTGACTGAGGGTTTGTTAAGGGCAATTGCAGTTGTTTGAAGAAGCAATTGTAAAACAAAACTGTGGTGGCAATTACATTTTTTTTTTGGAAAAAGTTAGACAGTAGTTTTCTAGCAGTCACCACTCTTAGTCAGGTCCGGTGGTAAAATATCATTTTGTCAAATAAAAAAAACTATGATGCGACACTGCACTGACGCCCTAAACACACCCTAAGTAGATTAGGGACCACGAAAAGCTAGGGAGAACGGAAGCATGGGATCTTGATTGAGTGCACATCATTTCCTTCACCATTTGATTTTAAGCTCACAGAGATGATTTCATAATTTAAAATCTTAAATATATTGTTATTATATGATGAACAATCATCTTTCTAATGAATAGTTTTAATCAAATGTGCTCTCTTGTTATCAAGAGAGGAAACTAACTATTAGGGCTACCTATGAGAATTCTCATATCTCAAATCTTAAAGTCCTCGCAAAATAAGGGTGAAATCTCTGGGTAGTATCTTATATATTATCTCATCCACCTCCTGAAAAATTCAACCAGAATCTCACGATAAAGTCTCCTATTCTCATTTCTTCACATTCCTTTTCAAGGGAGGCTGGGGCATTCAAATTTTTGGAGCCCACATTCAATATGGTTAAAAGGAAGGTTTGAGCTAAATGACCGCATAATCTTTGGTGTGAACTGAACTCTTGTCAATTTTTCTACTTCAAAGAATATTAAAACGGATATAATTGGCTTGCATATCTATGTTAGGAAGGCATTGATTGGTTTTGTAACATCATAAATTAAGGAAAAAATGAACAAGTTGGCCAAAGAATTTCTATTCAAGAGGATTCATACCCCGATATATATGTCGAAATGTCCAGGATATGTCGTGTAAGTCTTTGGCCACTAACTCTTGAGTTGGTGGTTGCAATGTAAAATCCTAGAGATCATGCAATTTCTGTATTAAGTGTAATACTCAAAAATTTGTTCTAAGGAAAATATGAACAGAAAAGAAAAAAGTGGTACCAGAGGCGGGAATATCTTTTCAGCAGCTCTACGAGGAACAGAGAATCCTCCATGAGTACTAGTGTCGCTTGCTGTAAGTGTTTTGCAGAAGAACTCTGTAGGTTGCTTGCTTTGTTCGAGTCCCATTTCAGAAGCAATCAGCGCCACTCTATCAAACTTTTCTAAAAATGTTGGCTTAAGAAAAGAAACGCTCACAGAAATATTAAAAATTGAATTTTAAAGGCTATCAACGAATTAAAGATGACCGGCCTACTTTATTAACTGGTTGTAGTGTCATCTGAGCAAAAACCTCATCTGTTTCATTATCAGCCTGACCACATCAAATATGAGATAATCATATAAAAGTGATATAGAAAAATCATGTTGAAAGCTTATTCATTAAATTATTTAGAAAATATACATGTAAGGTGACATTTTGAAGCACACAGATCATTTTAGAGGGAAGCAAAAGGTAATTCGGATTGCAGTCCATTTCCTGCTGTATTGAAGCTGCCACCTGAAGTTCAAATTCACCAAAATCATTCAGAATTCACCATAACAGAATAAAAAGAGAGAACAGAACTCTGAAAAGAAAGCAGACTTCTTCGATGTGCCCTTGAGGAAAATAAACCACATGGCTGCCAGCTGGTGGCAAAGACACGAGTGGCCCTGCGCAGGCTTGCCATAGCTCTGAGTTTATTCTCTTACTTTCCCCTGTTACCAGAATAAAATGAATATATAACAAAATTATAAATATTTGAAAACTTTTTGGGGGCCAAAAATTTATGCATTTAACTTCCAATTAGTTTAGAAAAATTGCATTTTCCAGAAGTTTATTGGTTTTTTTAGTTAAACGACAGAGTAACGGACATTGACAGATGGGATAAATGTTGAGATACTGAAACTGAACAGAAATAACTACTTCAAGATTTCTGTATTTCTGCTTCTGTACCGCTGGTGTTGCAACATTACTCCCTAACTTCTTTCTGTTACTAGCTGTTCTATATATAGCTTGGTGTATTGTATTTGCAAGTACGAATTCAAATAACACATTGAATGGAACTGCTCTTCTCTATTTTTTTCTATTTCCTGTTTCTGCTGTCTGCATATTCATGAGATTCAACATGGTATCAAAGCATTAAGTCTATCAACACCATAGATGCTCAGGAACATCATCAATCAGCAGCTCTTTCTCCTCCTTGCAGAAACGAAATCTTGCAGTTCTTCTCCTTCTTGTCTCATCATGAGTACTCAATCTAACTCTTCTGCAAATGTTGCTCTCCCAACTGTTTTCCCCACCACCTTACCTACTGATAATCCAATTCCATCTCAATTAAAGTTTCTTATGGAAAACATCAAAAGCATTATCCTGTACCACTTAACGCTTTTCCGTGCTGACGGATATGACGGCTTCCTAAAGGATTCATACAGTCGTCCAAATCCTTACATTCTTGGTTCAGCCGCACTGAATTTTCGACTGATTACAGCAAATGGGTTCTTATTAATCAGAACCTGGTTGTTGCTCTCTATTCTGTTATATCTTCCCCGATTCTTCCCTATATTTTGAATCTTTAAACATGTTTCGAGATCTGGACTACCACTGAATGCAGACTTCAGTATTCAAACAGGTTGTGTATCATACAGCTGCAGGATAAATTGCATAAAATTGCAAAGGGGGACAAAACAATGCAACAGTACCTATCTGACATCAAATATAAGGTGGACACCCTTGCTGCTGCTGCTGGTGCAGTTTTTAATGCGGAAGACATAATTCTATATACCCTTAATGGTTTACCTTCCAGCTATCATGCTTTTAAGACATCCATCAGAACTAATATGCAGCCGATCAGTCTTGATGATCTATATACCCTGCTTTGTAATGAGGTGCTTAATTTGACTCAAGAAGCTTCAAAGAAGACTGAACGCTCTCTTGATACTGCTTAAACTGCCAGCAAAGGACATGGCAAGTTCAAGAACAGCATCAGTTCTACCTACTACAGAAATCAAATCAATCCTGGCTCAAAACAGAATACATTCAACAAATCAATCCCCTACTGCTCTTATTTCAGATTCCTCCATCAATTCCAGTACTAAATGATATTTGGACAGCATTGCAACTGAACACATCATGGCAGATCAAAATCAGCTCAGCAATGCTCAAGCTTACAATGGTGACAGCTCCATCACTGTTAGGAAATGTAAGCTAATACTCATAGCTCACACTAGGCAAGCAATTCTGCCAAAACCTACATGTAAGCTAATACTTAACAATATCCACCATGCTTCAAATCTTGCTTACAACCTTCTCTCCGTCCATAAGCTCGCCACTCCCAATTTCTGCTCAATCACTTTCACGGCTAACGGTTACTGTATCAAGGACATGTAGACAAACAAGATTCTTCTTGAAGGTCCCTGTGTACAAGGACTATATCTAATAAAGCCCATCCGCCATACTCAGAGTATACACAGCAATCTCGCTCTCATATATGTTAAGCAAGTTACAAACTTATGGCAAAGGAGGCTTGGTCACCCATCACACAAAATTTTGCCGTTTTTAGCCCATACTATTCCTCTCTACAGCAGACTAATAAAATTACTCTTTGCACTGCTTCTAAGCTAGCTAAAAGCAGAAAGCTACCTTATAATACTTCTTCCTTGTGTACTTCTTATCAGCATGAAGTAATACATTCGGATGTTTGTGGGTCATTTTCAATTCCTTCCATACAATCTGACAACTATTATGTTGGGTTTTTGGTTGATTACACTAGATATTCATGGATGTACCTTCTCAAACATAAGAAAATTAAGTCACTGGAAACATACTTGAAATTAAAAATATGGTGAAAAATCAGTTCAGTGCTCTGATTAAAACCATTCGTACAGATGGAGGTGAGAAATATGTCAACACTTCATTTACTACTACAACAATATAGCATACAACACATACACACAATTATTCTTACACCCCTAAACAAAATGGGGTGGCTGAAAGAAAACATCATCACTTTATAAAACTGTTCGCACACTACTCAGTGAGGACTCTCTACCTTTTCATCTATGGGCTGATACTTTACTTACAGCTAGCTATTCGATTAACTGGCTACCCTCACCAACAACTCAATCTAAATTACCTTATGAGCTGCTGTACATAAAAGACCCAGCCTATACAAACCTAAGAGACTTTGGATGTCAATGTTTTCCTTGGCTTAAACCATACTCAAAACACACAATTTTCCCTCTCTCCAAAAGTTGTGTTTTTCTTGGATATGATACCTCTCAAAAAGGTTACAAGTGCTTACAAACTCAAACCCATAAAATATATACATCCAGGCTTGTCATTTTCGATGAGGCAGTTTTTCCTCATCAAAGCCTATCCACCAACACAATCTCGATATATCTACTACACCAAATCTTCCACTATTCTTACTTGTTCTCATCACTGCCTTACAACCTGTAATGATTCCTAACAGCACTGCAGCTTCTCAAACAGCAGCGTCCTCTTCTACTTCAGACCAGAGTACAACTCTATATTCTGCCTTTAATTTACCCACAGATTTCAGTCCATTTGAACATCAGGCACACACCCCATCATTACATGTCTCACTACCACAACATCACATGCTTACTCGAACAAAGACTGGCAGCCTTAAGCCCAAACATATTTATGATCTCACTCATCAATTCATCCAGCAGACCCCACTAACTACACAACTGCAGTAAAATCTGCGCATTGGCGATAAGCCATTTCAGCTGAATTTGAAGTCCTTCAATCTCAAGGCACATGGGTTCTTGTATCACCATTACCACAACAAAATGTATTAGGCTGTAGATGGAAGTACAAAATCAAAAACAATGCTAATGGCTATATTGCCCTTCATAAGGCAAGACTGGTTGCTCAAGGGTTCAAATAGCATCTAGGACTTGATTAAAAGAAAACTTTCAGTCTTGTTGCCAAGTTGTTTATGGTTAGAGTTCTATTGATAATAGCTCTTACATACAATTGGAAGGTTCTCCAATTAGATATATCCAATGCTTTTCTCCGCGGCCATTTGAATGAAACAGTAGAAATGGAACAACCTAAAGGGTTTATTGATCATATAAATCCTAACAATGTTTGTCGCTTGGAAAAACTATCTATGGTGTCAAACAGACACCTAGGCAATGGTAACACACTCTCACAACACATTTTCAAGAGCTTTAGGCTCCGTTTGGGGCCGTGTTTTTTGAGCGTTTCGCGCTTTCTTGCAGCGGCAGCGGCCGCTTGCCGCTAATCTAGGTTGAACGCGGGCCGTGGGATCGAGCCCGGCGTTCTCGAGCGGTAATATCTCCTATGCCCCGTTCAAAAGCCTTTAGAATTCTTCTTTGATACCTCCTATGCCCCGTTCGAACTGAGCCACCCTCGCTGCCCTCCTCAAGGCCGGAGCTCCTACCCAAGGGCCTTGAGCACGGGAACCATGGTTCCTCCCCCTCCTCAAGCATATTCTTCTCGAATCTATCCCCTTGTTGGCGGTATTTTGATATCTCTTACTCATTTTGGAAGATGAGTTCTTCGATGGATGCTGCATCATCTTCTTCGATATGGGTTAGGGTATATTGTAATTTCATTTTAGAAAGGATGGAAGAAATCAATTTTTCTGTTGGATTGCGGGTCTAAAATTGGGATTTTTGTTTTATATTTTTTGCGCTATGTATGCCCTCCGTTTTTAGTGCTGAAGGAAGAGGGTAAAGAAGATTGAGGTTGCAGATAGTTATTAAAATTAGAGAAGGGTACTTTAAAGTAGGATGGTTGAATTAGTCATGAAAGAAGTCTTGAGAGATGAAATTGATGGCAAGGAACTAGAAATCCTTTCCTTACTCATATTGCACAAAAGTGCATGTATTCCCTTGATTTGTCACAACCCTTATGATAAATTTGAGCAAGTCAGCTCCAAATAGAAATTATTTTCCCAAAATCTCCCACTCGTCTTTATTCTTTAAAATTTTAAACAAAGATGCTATCCACTCGAAATATTTTAACTATTGCAAAAGAAGTTCAAAAGTGCAGTATTTTCCCAACTCTATGTCGGGAATCCTAACCTCTGTGATCAACCATGTGATCTACTGGACTGGTAGATAAAGTACTTTTGTTCTGTTTTTTTTTTACCATAAAAATGCTCTTCTTCATTACATATATTTCATAGTGTCATGTAGTTTACTAATTTCTATGCTTGATGTAAAAAAAATTTATGAGGTACTGATCACTTAAAGGGGATCTCTTTTCTTTTAATTTCTTATTTTTAGTGCATAATTCAAGTGAAGTATGTTTTATTTCTGGGACATCCCGACGACTGCTTCGAAATGAAATTTAACTTTAGAAGTATCAAATATGTCGCTCTTAGGATTCTACCATTATTTTTTATGATTGTGTGAGAATTTGAAAAATAAATGAAAGAAGGTGTTGATTTTGGTTGTAGGTTTTGAGGAGGTGTTGGTATGTCGTGAGAGAAGTTGATGTGGAGGTGGTGGAGAGGTGTGGTGTGGTGTGTTATTGATGTTGGTGGTTGGTGGCATTGAAGTGTGTTGGCATCAATTTTAATGTCGCATGTGTAAAATGTCCCCCTGAGCTTATATGGGTCATGCTTCATGCATTTGTTGTTTCTCGTAGCTCGAGACATCCGCTCGAGATCCACCGGCGCCTATTGAGGGGGCACGTAGCCGGGGTCATTTTACTAGGC